CTCGTATGGTGCACGAATTTGCATTCTTCAAAGCAACAGCTTTACCCTTCTTTGCGTTGGCAATTTGAAAGTTAGTCAATAATACTGATCATTACACGAATTTGTTGATGTTTGAAATGTGTATATCATGACAGCTCACTTGATAAGCAGCCTCTCTCATAAATTGTTTTGCCGCTGGTTTCCATATTGCTGGGACAGTCAAGACCCATTGCACATCATTTCCTCCGAAGTCTTCGTCACCAGTTCTCTCCTTAATCACCTCTAGTGCCCGTGTGTAAAGATATTTTATGGAATATTTAAAAACATCCAAGGCCCTCATGTGCTTGCCATTCGCTGCCTCTACAGTGGTGTTCATATTCAAGCTCTGTAAGGACAAAAACCACGTTTGTTTCAAAAGTTTATTAGTTTTATGTTTGCAGTAAGTTTCTGCGCTCTCATTCAGTTCGGAATTAATCACCTAAACAATATTAGAAGTATCTGTTTATTAACATTTCTGAAAAAAGTACAAAACTTGAAAAGCACCAAATTTTGAGGAAAACCAAATAACCTCTAAATTGACCTAAGCTTTGATATAATAGCTTAGCTTTACCCTGATCTCCTTCAAAGTTAATAAACAAATTGCCAACATTTATCAGAATAACACAGCTTCTTTCTTCCATACCAGAATCGACTAATGTTTATTAACATAAAATCCTTCAAAGATTTACCAATATTTCTCCTAAATAAGGAAGTTTCATATATTTGAAAAAAAAAAAAAATGAATTTTTCTCTCACCTCATTGTTATGAAGAATCATTTTAAAGCAATCAAAGTAAAAATATTGTCGAGCTTCCTCTTCCTCCAAATCAGCAAATTTATCTTTGGCCTCATAGCCAAACGAATTGAAACTCTGGTCTGGATTGAGCAACAAACATGTAGGTGTCTTCATAGTGGAGTAGCCTTGGTCACTTCCCCATTCTTTATTCATGTGGATACTTTTTTCTCTGTTATTGAACGCAAATGCAAACCCACTAAACGTTGTGCCAAAGTCAATTGCTACCACAGCGATGAATGTAACAGGAGAGGAGAGGAAAAGTTCACCTCCCTCTTGATCGTCTGTTGAACAATAATTATATTCAACAACTACATAATTAAATAAACATGCTTCGGAAAGAAATATCAAATAGATGAAAGAGGCAGGTGATGACAGATATAAAACTTTGACTGAAAGGAATGCAAAGTAATGAAACGTGGTTTCAGTACATGTATTGGCAATAAGTAGAAAAGCAGAATTTTATTTAGCAGTTGATTTGAAGTTATCCGAATTTTAGAAAGCTTCAAACGCTTGAAATATGTCATCATCGCCGAGCTGAAATTTGCAGAAGAAATCCGAGAAAGCCGAAGAGTCGTCGACTTTTTGATATCACAGTTTTAGAGGATACCAAGTTTGAAGAAAATCACGAGTTGAACTTCATTATTGTGTTTAATCATTAATGAAACGAATCACTGAGGTCCTATTTTCGCCTTCAAAAAATACGATATGGTCCATTTAATACTAGGAATGTTTGTTTGTTTGGGCAACTTTCAATTCTGTTTTCGATTTCATGAGCTCACGTGGTGGTCAGTCGTAATAAGATTGGTTAGTCATCGTCAACTCACCTTCCGAGGTTCTCTGCATCTTGAAGACAGCGCTTGTTCATCGAACATGAAGATTTGTAGTCGAAACCACTCAGCGGTAAAATAATCGCCTTCTAGGAAACTAGGTCACTATGATGTCTTACAGGGGATTTTGTCTCTTTCTTGGAAAGATTACGTCATAACTATAATGGCTTCAAAGATAACGATTTCTTTGGATTAGACATCAGACGCCGTTGAAATCAAAGGGGGACTGAGAGGGGGACTGTAGTATATGAATTATGGCTTTGGCGTATCTTCGATAAGTTTTTCGTCTGTTTTAAGCTTTCGACACATCATTTCTCAAAATTGCAAAGTAAAAATAAATAAATAAATAAATAAAAAGTAATAGGTACATGACACTTCCGGTTTTTCTCAGAAATCTCGTAACATCCTCCCAGCGGTTTGGGCCATTTTCAAGTTCTCACTGAGGCACGAGAACGAGGCAAAGTGCGAATTAAGAGTCATGGTATTTCAGCATCGGATTTCTCAACCGTGAGAATTCGGAAATGGCCTACTGATTTAGGTTATCAAACCTCTGTGCAAGAACTCGATATTTTAATAGTTGCTCTTTATTCACTGTATTGTGGCAATGACAGATGCACAATCCGCCACTACTGAATCACACACAACGATCGACGACGCTCGAGCTCGTTCAAGGAGGTCGTTCATCGCTATGTTAAAAGTTAATCGCCAAGTGTTCTCCAATTTGCCGGGAAGGATTGAGCAGTGGCTTGAGAAGGAAAGAAGGGCTACAAATCAGCCCGAAACGATCGAACACGGGTTCGTAAGACCACATTGACGAATGAACCGAACATTATAATATACCGCGCGCATATCTTGCCTCAAATGTTCACACATCTTAAGTTCAAATGTCATATAGTTAAATACATAAGGTTTGGTGTTAACGAGACAACTTCATCATAAGATTTTTTCTTGTTAAGCAGGAGAGAATAATCAGACAGATTAGCACGATCAGACATGCAGGAAAAGCGACTGGAATGTTTTCAAGCAGAAATAAACGCGAATACTCAAAGGTTAGTCGGGCTGTGATACACATGTCATTTGTACACTGTTTTATGTGCGAGCTTCCATGTGACGGGGGTAGAGTCAGGCATATGTGTTTAGGGAGAAACTAAAGATACTCAAGAGCCACTGACCATGAGTAAGTATCTAGAATTTTATTAAAGGATCCTTTTAATGAACCTTTTCAAAATTATATTGAAAAGTTCTACTGCGCTTTGCGTTCTGCGAAAAAATCGAAAAGAATGTACACCACAACGCAATACAATTCCTAAAGATCATTTCGGTAATTACTAGATTTAACGCAATGACGTAACGTAATCCGGGCAAGAGTCGTTTGCAGTTAATTAAGTGATAGTTCTATGAATCACACAAAATTTGACGCTCATTCGTATTCATAGCAAACTTCACATGTACCTGTCGGTGCAATCTCGATGTTTATAGTCAGTGCTTTGTCAGTGCTCTTTAAACCTGATTCAGTCTGGCATCAATGATTTAATCGCTCTGCTGTCTCCGAAAAAAACTGAGTACATTTTGGGGTACATCATCTGTTACGGACGATTTCACGGGCGAATTTGATACGATAAACGGTAGGAAAACGTTAACCTTTTATCTGATGTATTTTCGACACCCTACCGATAACTCGAGATAAGAGACTCGGCCGTTTTCGAAATTAATTCGAAAAGATCAGTCTCGATCCTGTAACGCAACAATAACTACATGAAAATATCACGCGAAATTTTCACGAATCAGTTCCGAACTGAACGTTACTATGGACTTCAGTGGGGTTTGTAATTGGTGACTTCCATATAGGCTAATTCGATTAACAATTGGAGAAAGTGGTTTTATTGCTAAAGATCCTTTCAAATTGGAATCAACAAAGGGAAGCCGCAATAGACATAGCAGAAACGATTAAGAAAAGCCAAAGTTTTTAAACTGTTAGTTACTTGGTTTTTCCAGTCCACATTTTCTTCTCAGTAAGATAAGCTAACTGTTTTTTCACAGGATGTGAACCGAGATCATGTTACACTAAATGAATGGCATTATGAACTTCATCCTTGACGTAATAAAAACCAAAATTAAATTATGTCGCGATCATTTACTTGTAGTAACTACTCTTCGGTCGCCTTGCGACGAACTAAGGAGTAGGTACTGATAGGTTCAGTCAACGGAAACAGCAATAAGTTCCGGTAGCGTGGGCCTCTTGGCTCCAGTTTCTAACCTTACTTATTGCCATTGATGTAGATGATAGTAACAATAATGGACGAATGCTATATCAGTATTACCATCATTATCATTACCATGATTATAGTGTTCAATATGTTGATTTATCCTATTTTTTTAAAATATCAATTTTGAGTAAGTGTTAGTATCCTTTACAGTTTAGTGACCCTGGGCCAAACTGTTAGAGAGATAACTACCGCACCTGAGTACATGAAAAGCGAGCACAGCTCAATGGTGTTTAGCAGAGACAGGTTTACCTGTTAGAAGTGCAAATCACATTGCAGGTTTTCTAGCATGTACATACTTCCGTATACGTACATACATATATCTATGTATATATATATATATATATATATATATATACATACAAATATACATACATACCTACATACATATTTATATAATAAGCTCAGTTATGCACGCATTCTGATTGGTTCTCACTTATAATCTATTGGAGGACAGACGTATAGATGACGTCTGCATTAAAAAATTTTTTCCGTATATTTTAATTCTTAATTATATAAAACAAATAGATTCCAAGTTGCCGTGCGTCTGTTCAGTAATAGATCACAGATGACGTCAAAATGTGGTAAGAACAAAAAAGTGGCACACGAGGCGCAGCCGTCTCTGTAAATAGTTAGATATATATATATATATATATATATATATATATATATATATATATATATATATATATGTATATATATATATATAGAGATATGTATATATATATACACATATATATACATACATACATATATATAGTTTTGCTTAATAGTCAGGAAGGATATACCGAAAGAAAAGTAGTTTCGTTGAACCATCGCCACAGAAAAGGTCTGACACTTTATTCTGGTAGAAAAAGATGTCTTGATGAACGTGTGGTAGTTCGTAGAGTTGAATTGAACAGGAAACGAGGCTAACATCTAAATTGACCCTTTTACTCCCAATGGACGAGCGAATGCGACTAAAAATTGACGGAAATTTCACAGCAAAGTAAGTAGATGTGAAATATGTGACAAGATGATGATTAGGAACGTCACGTGATTGCCAACGTCAGCAATCAACGTGTGGTAGTTCGTAGAGTTGAATTCTGGTATATGTTTCAAAGTACAGGGCTTTTTTGTCCCGCGCTCTTCATTTTTACTTGGAAACGAGAATGTCACGAGACTGCTGTGGTCAACATTTTTGTCCTATTCTAGTAGAAATATCAAGTAGATAGCTAGCTTATTACTATTACCACAGTAAATTGATCCTATTTGCATCTGAAATTCCGATCTTTTTTAAGCTTTTTTGAGCAGACTTGAATTGATAACGAAGCAAATGTTAAGAGAGGTGTATCTTTGGTAAAATGTTAATCATCATCGTCATCATCAGGTCGAACTTGCTCGGTATTCCATGACGCGCAAAATGTTAATAAGACACAAAAATAAAAAAAATAGATTGAAAACGAAAGGAGTTACAATCTGCTTAAAAAACAAGACATTTTTTTAAATTTGCAAAGCATGTTGCGATACTACGGATGCCATCTTCATTTGCAAGAGGGTCTCATTGAGAGAGGGTAGTTTTGATAGTTGACGGTTATTTTTTCTTATTTTGACGAATGACAGCTTATTGGATTGTTACGTTAGTATCTCACGCACTTTTAGAACTCTCTTTCATTCGATTTTTACATAAATAACTCATGAATTATTTAGGATTCTTTTTCATTGAATTGATACGTTAGTATCTTGCACGCTCTTAGGGTCCTCTTTCATTGGATCATTCACCAACTACTTTGCTGATTGAAACCGACTTGATGGAGTCACAGGTGTTGTGGGAGATCCTGCAGAAGTTGGCAGCGGTTGAGAATCAGGACATGAAAGTGGAGTCTGTGATGGGTAACTATCCGTGTCTGGTGTTGGCGTTTGAGGAAGGTTAACATTAGGAGAAGCCGAAGTTGGAAGTAAAGTCGGCCGTAAAAAAGGAATTTTCTTAGTTCCTTGGTCTTCTTTTCCGCTCCAGGTTATCTGATGACTAGCATCACAAACGAGGCATAGCTGATATATTCCCTAATCCGCTTGTTCTTGTTGAGTACAAAAATATCATAGATTTATAAGATTATGGAAAACAATGAGGAAACTTATTTTTACATTACACAGGACTGAAAATTATGGATATCAAAATAACTGGCCAAATAAATTTCAGCTTCATAATTCTCAAACAAATACATGTATGTATGCCGGAGATTATAGCTAAAATTTGGAAACAAATGAGTTTAACTTTAAAAACTGTTCAGCCCAACACTGTTTCAAAAATATCATTTTCCATATTTATAACTCAGTTTATTTAATGCATATTTACTTACCATTTTCAACAAAGAACTTAAATTTAAATAAATTTAAAGCCATGATTCTTGACCTGATTTTCAAGCCCCAGGTAGTTGATAACAGCTTGAATGTTGAATAAGATATTGTCACCAAGTTTGTGAACTTTTAAGGAGACTGGCCAGCCAAAGCCATTGCTGGTATCATATTGTTCCTCCTCCATTCTCCTAGATAAAAAGATAAAGGTCCATTAAGTACACCAAATCATAAACCATTAGTGTCTGGGATAAAAGTAACTTGGCATGCTAGAATTTTCTTTTAACTCAACATGTATGCACTGATTATCAAAAAGCAATCAATTTAATCAATTAAATTGTTATCAATAAAAATCAGTGGTCAGAACTCTTTCAATGTTTAACTTTCGTCGCAGATTGTGAAACATTTCCGTACCCAGGATTATTTTCGCCACAAGCACAGAAATTATAAGCTTAAATTAGA